TAAATAGGTGAGTTTTATTGTATATACATCACACCTTATTAAAACTGGAGGCAGAGAAGGGAGGCCTGTTTGATGAACAACAACAAAAAAGACCACAACAGTTGGGGCCATTACTGCCGTGTTACAAATGAGGAAACGGGCTTAGAAGGAGAACGTGCTGGCTCCAGGGCTGCTGGCAAACCCTGACAGGAGGGGACGGACACACAGAGATCTGCAGTGAGGCTTGGGGCGACCAGCAGCCAGTGGGTCTGGGGTTAGGGGCAAAGAAGAGTTGGAGGCAGAGGCTCTGGCCCTGTGGGGCAGCCTGCACTGGCGTAATGCCTGGAAATGCTGAGATTTCAGGGATGGTGCAGGAAGAGGGATATGTGACAGTACAGACTCTGCACAGGGCAGGGGGTCAGGAGCCTTCGCACGCATCACCTCTTTAACTCCTCACACAAAGCTGTGGCTCAGAGAAGTTCGGTGAGTCCCCCAGGTAACAAAGTAGAGCCAATAACAGAGCTGGGCCTGTTGACTCCAAAGCCATGTCAGGGAGGGAAGATGGGAGGCCCTGAGGACCAGCTGTACTGCCCCACTTGATGTGCAACTAAGTCAGTTCATTTCTTCGCTCTGGGCCTCAGTTTCTCCCCTCTCTTGGGGCACTCTAATAGCACTCTGGGAGGAGGGTGGGAAGCCAAGGAGTTGGGCAGTGCTGACTGTGGCCCATCCCCACCAGCCCAAACACTCACTCCCACATCAAGAGAAGTGAATAAATTAGGAAGGTAAATCAGTGGGGGGAAAAAAGACACTCTCTCCTCTAGAGGCTTTGGGCCTCAGTTTCCCAGTTTTGCAGTGGGAATGAACTGAGCTGAATGACAACTGGCAAACTAGCCCCCACATATATCTTCTTTACTCCCATGGTTGCTTTCTCCCCACCCTTTTCACAATTTTGATTAAGAAAAATTTTGAGTGCATGAGAAGTTGAAGCCTGGGATGGCCATTGTGCACATTGGCCTCGTGTTCTCTTTCTCTCTAAGCTTCCCTCTCTCCCCATGTAGGCAGATACTGTTTTCTGAATTATTTAAGGGTAGGTTACTGACATCATAGCCTTTGGCTCCTAACCCTCCAGATGTATTCCCTGAGAACAAGGACATCCTCCTTGTGAGTGTGATATGATTGTCTCACCTAAGAAAAAAGCAGTAATTCCACAGATAGCTCACACATGGTCCATGTTCAAGTACCTCATTAGCTCCCAAATGTCTTATATGTCTAAACTTTTTGAACCAGAATCTAATCAAGATTTAGGTATTCTATTTGGTTTTCTCTCTTTTCCCCTCAATTTTTTATTTTGAAAAAATTTACATCTCTAAAAAAATGGCCAGAATTCTCCATGAGTATGTATATGGACTTCATCTGGATCCACCAACTGTTAAGCGTTTGACAGATCCTCTCTCTTTGCCCTAGCCATCAGAGAGTTGGGGCAGACACACATAAGCATGTTTTTCAATCAGTTACAGATCAGGAGACCTCACTTTATTCTTTGACTTCCAGATCGTATTGAAAAACCCAGAACAGGTCTCCAATATAAAGTCAGCTGGAGCAATCAGCAGCTCCACTTTGCCACATTCCACACTGTGCCACTTTGTCCGACGCCCTGCCTGTCTCTCCCACTCACAGAACCTGCCTGGGACCTGCAAGTCCAACCCCCGATCCACTCTGGATGATCTCCCAAGGCCTCCAGGTCTTCTCAGGAAGAAGCAGTCCCATTCCTTCATAAGGCTCCTGTCAGGTCCATCATGGGAGCTTGTCCTCCACCTAGATGTCAGACTCTGGACTTAGCCTCACTGGTTGGGATCCCACCTCCACTATCCACCACCAAAGAGAAAATTGGACAGTTCCCAGCCTCTTCAAAGCCCAGTCCCCTCATTTGTACAATCCCTGGTTTTAAGTGTGGGTGTGAGAACTCATGAGATCATGCACATTGGAGCACTCTACACAGCCCCTGGCAAATAAGGGGCACGCAGTAGATGCTGCTGTTGGTATAAGTTTTCTCAGAAGATAATCACACAGGTGGACAAAAACATGTATGAACACAATGCCATGCGGTGAAAAGTTGGAAATTGACCTAAATCCTCAACAACAGGAAACTGGTTAGGTAATTAGCATATCCTTAAAATGGAAGAATCAACAGCTGAGCCAAAGAAGCTATATTTAGAAATGACCCAAACAGCCATCGATAAAGGAATGTATCAAAGGAAATGGTTATGATCTAGACTGCTGTTGCAACATCGTGCTGTTCATTCAGTGGAAGACTACGCAGCTGGGAGGAGGCAGGAGTACACTGGCAATTCGCCAACATGGGTAGAGCTCCAGAATATGCTGATAGGAGATATATGTACTTAACTTTTGAGTTATGTGCTTTCTTATGGTTTAAAAATGGGAAGAAAGAATACATATTTGTTCTTACTTGGGTTGGTGTGTACAAAACTCAAGAAGTTCATAAGAAACTAGGAAAAAGGCATTCCTTTGTGTGAAGAGAAGGGGGAAGATGGTAGGTGGGGGTCAGAGGCAGGTTGGTCCCAATTGCCAGTATATTCTGTGCTTCAGTTTTTGAAACATGTGGTTATATTACCTAATCAAAAGTTAAATTTAAAATATCCTTAAAGAATGATTCTGCGGTTTTTTATACAATAACAGTTGACACAGTATATTGTTAAATGGAAAAAAGAAAGACTACGAAACAGTGCATATGCTTATACTTTGTTGGAAAAAACACTCTGTGTGTACAAAGCTCCATGTGAATGGTTTTGTCTGCCTTCTTTACTGCTGTGTTCCCAGAATCTAGACGACATAGTAGTTCCTCAGTAAACATTGAACAAGCAAGCAAATGAGTAAGTACATGAATAAATGAATAGCTACAAGAACAAAGAGATGTCTAGAAAGAGGTAGCCAAACTGTGAAGAATGAAGAACTTCAGAGGTAGATTTATGAAGGACTTTTATCTTCTTGGTCATTTTCTGTTTATGCTGAGAATGTTAACTGAGTGCCCCTCATGCACACACTCAGGAAGGAAAGACAGTGAAGGCACTAAGGACATGCAGAGGCTCTGGCTGTAGGTCCAGATGCATTAAGGAGGTGGGGGCTCACCAAGAAGAATGCTGGGCTTGTGACCAGGGTGGGCATTCCACCCTGCCCCACCCACTCTCACTCCACCCAGACTCAACAGAGCGACAGAGCCAAGGTTGCAGCAAGTGTAGGGCTGGTTCAAAATTCTAAATCTGTCACTTAGCCCTCCTGGGACCTCCTCATGGAACTTTAGTTCCTCTCTTCTGTGGTGGGGTGGTGGTATCAGTGGGTGCACACGGTGGGGTCCCCTGGTGGTGGTGGCAAGTTGAGATTGGCCTTGAGGATTCCCAAGTCAAGCTCGGCTGCTTCCCTGGGGTCAGTGGCCCCTGGCCCCACCAATGTGGGTCAGAACATCTGCAAATGTCCATGGAGTCCCTCGGGGTACCCTACAGAGACTGTCCTACTCTTGGGTCCTGAGCAGAAAGGTGCTGGGTTTGAATTTGACTCTGCCACTTGCCAGCTGTGTGATCTCATCTGTAAAGTGAAGCTAATAACAGCAGCCATCCATATGGCATTTCTGTGAGAACCAAAGAGTTCAGGACAGCAGGCGCTTGGCCATGGTTGTCACTGCATATCTGGACTCATGTAGGAGTCCTCTGTCTCTTGCATTTCTCCTCCATGGTCCATCCACCATGTGGCATGCAGAGGGATCTTCAAAACGGAGGCTGACACACCATTCCATGAAACAAACTGCCAACTGCTCAGCACACTCAGCCAGTCACAGAGGCATCACACCAACTATGGGAAGCAGATATGGTGGGCCAGGTGCTGCATGACTCCATTTATATGACATGTTGGAAAAGGTAAAAAGATATGGACAGAAAATCAGTTGGAGATGCAGTTGGGGATGGTTAAAGGGGCATAGGAACATAGGGGTGATAAAACTGCTTTGTAACTAGGTTGTGGTGGTGGTGTATATATACCCACATGAGGGTATACATTTGTCGCATGAGGTTATACATTCGAAGGGTATACTCCAAAAAGTGTAATTTTTAGTAAATGCTATCTGAATTTTCTTATTAAAAAAACACAAACAAAAACCTCAACCAAGATGCATATGCTGGGCCTCATTTTATTGTTCTATTTACATATATGGTTGAAATCTTTCAATATTAAACAAACAAAAAATCCTAAGACTGTATCTCTGGTCTGCTCAAAACTGTCCCATGGCTCCCTCCTGGCTGAGAGTAAATGCTGAAGGCCTTGCTGTGGCCAGGGAGGGCCCTCAGTCTGCCCTCAGATGCCTTCGCCTCACCTTCTACTTGCTGACTCACTCTGCCCCAGCTACACTGGCCCCAATGTGTTTTTTAAACACACCTCAGGGCCTTTGCATTGACTTCTCTCTGCTTGGACCACTCTTCACCCAACATCTCTTGACTCCTTAAATCTTTCATTAAAAGAGTCCAATCAGTGGAGGTCAGTCCTGGCCACCCTGTCCTCAAACCTCCAAAGGCCCATCCCACATCCCACCCTGCTGAATCTCTTGCTGGAGCACTAGAGATGAACCATAAATCTATTTCCTTCTTTGCTCATTGTTTCTCCTTCCTCTAGAATGTAGCTCCAAAAGGACAAGAAATTTGGTCTGTCTTGTTCACTGTCATGTCCCCCTAGAATAGTGATGGGCACGCAGTAGGTGCTCAATAAATATTTGCCAAATGAATTACTGATTGACTGAATAAATGATATCCTATACACATATGACTGGGTCTCCACATGGCACTGCCAGGCCCTAGCCATGGGGGCTCTCACCACCCAAGGTCCATCTACCCCAAAACTGTTGGGACCCAGCTTTCTTTCTAACTTCAGGAGTCAAATGTTCATTCAGCAACTTCTCCCCAAGATCTTGTCGGTGACCAGCATGTTTTGGGATGGAAAGACAGAGTAAATCCATTCAATTCAGCAAACATTAATCACTCGCTTTATTGACAGATACACTGCCTTGTTCCACAAAGGATTTCTGAAAGTTTCAAAGACCCTAATAAGCTAATAGACATTTATTTTAAAGTAGGAGACAAAGAAGGGAGTCAAAAACAGGGAGGATCCTGGGCTCTCATGCTGGGCTTGGCTTGCACTGTGTCCTGCCAGGGACCAGAAGAGGGGGAATGTCCTCTGGACCCAGGCTGACTGAGGAGCATCAGTTAGGGCTTCCCAAAGGAAGCAATGTTTGGGCAACAGCACCTGTAAAGGCCCAGAGAGGAAAACAGCATAGCCTGTTAGTGGAATTTCCAGACCCTTGTTTTGGCTTCCCCACCCCATTCAAGTTCTTTGGAGACAAAGAAGTCACCTGACACACATACGAGATCACATCGTACTTGCTCAAGACTACAGCCGGCCCTGACTCAGCTGAGGGCAAGACTCCCCCCACCCACCATCACCACCACTCTGACCCCAGCAATCTTTCTGTTTCCTTGTATAGAATGACTCACTCACTGGCCTTGTTTTGTTTCCCAACTCTGTGATACAACACACACTTGTTTAAAAAAAAAAGATTTGCTACCATTTTCTCAATAAATATGCATATATCTGACAAAGGACACACAGCCAAGCTATAGAAAGAACTCCTATAAATCGAAAAGAAAAATTGAATAGAAAAATACTTAAATAAGCACTTCACAAAAGTAGATTTCCTGATGCTCAAGGAGCACACAAAGAAAGTCTCCACACCATTAGCCACTAGCAAATGCAAATTAAAGCCAGTGAGAAGCGACTTCACACTCCCCAGAATAGCTAAAATAGAGACCGAAAACACTTACAATACCAAATTCTCAAAATTGTCAGTAGGAGTGTAAAATTGTACACTCCTGGCAATTTCTCATGAAACTCAAGATGTAACCCGACAGCCCATTCCTGGCAGCCACCCATGAGGAACACTACAATAAGAACACAAAGAAGATGTGGTGAAGAATGTCCATGGCAGGTTATTCGTAACAGTCAAAAATCAAAAACAGGCCCAATGTACATCGCAGGTGGATAAATTGTGGCAAATGCCCATACTTGAAAACTGTTCGGTGATGAAAAAAGATACCCTCTCCAACATGAATGAATTTCACAGATAAAATGAACAAAAGAAATTACGCACTAAACAGGACATACGCTGATTTCACTTACATGAAATTCTGGGAAAAGCAAATTAGTCATGTTAGAAGTCAAGGTAGGAGTTATTTCAGGGGATGGGTCACTGATTGGAAGGAGGCAATGGAAACACTGGTGTTATGTGTCTTGATTGGGTCATGGTCACGTGGTGAACATCATGCTGACACTTTCATTAGCAAACTAGTAAAAAGTAACCTATAGTCATGTGATTCGGTGTTGCAGCTATGGGTGGAGGGTAACTTCAGATGTAAACAAGTTTGGGGGCAAGGACCTGATCAAGTTCCCTTTCATTTTTTAAAAATTATTTATTGATTTCAGAGACAGATAGGAAGGGGGCAGAGACAGAGAACCATCTATTTGTTGTTCCACCTATTTGTGCATTCATTAGCTGCTTCTTTTAAGTGTCCTGACCGGGAGTTGAATCCACAACCTACTGAGCTACGGGCCAGGGCCTTCAAGTTCCCTTTCACACACAAGAAATCTGGACCCCTAAAAGTCTGGTTTGTCTTCAAGCAAGTCCCTCGTCCTCTTGGGACTCAGTTTCCCCATCTTTGAATTGTATCCAGGACTCTCCGCGACCTCTTACTGCAATTTGGCCTCTTTTAAGGAGAGGTAGCTTTTTGCCCCCATCTCAAACAGGGCTTCTAACATGGGTGGAACCCACAGCACCCATCCTCCCAAGGCCCCAGCTATGCGTGACCTCACAAAGGTCTTTCACTGCCCTCAGCTTCTACTTCCTCATGGGTAAAATAGTCAAGCATGTCTCTTTCTCAGGTTTGTGATGAGAATGCTCACTGAGCTCAGTGAGACCCTACTAAGCGCTTCCTTTTGCTGTGCACAGGACGTGAACACAGCAAGTACTTAATAAATGGTGGCTGCGAGGTGATAATTGGAATTTCCCTACATGTTATTATATCTTTTTTAGAAGGGGTCTGTGTGGGGACCCCAAAGTTGCATGTGGGTCAAACACAAAAAGGAAAAGTGGCCCCCGGAGGATACTGTGCGCTTTTTGTTTGGAGCTACAAGTGCAACACCAGCGGCAGGCCTGCGGCCCCTTTAAGAATCAAATGGAATGTATCAAAACAAAAAGGCCTCGCGCCCACTGGCTGCACGCCGCACGTGACCTCACAGCTGATTTCCTGCCCCCCCCCTTTTTTTTTTGTTGTTGTTGCAGCCGCCAACGAGTGTCAGTTTCAGCGCTGCCGCCTGCGGTCTCTCCGGTGAGGGTTCCCGGCCTCCCAGTGCCAAGGCCGCCCCGCGCCCCCTGCTCTGCGCGCTCTGGCCCCCCGGAGTCGGCCCGGGCCCCAAGTCCTAGAGGCCTCTACCCCGCGCCTAGATGGCGAACTCGCCGGCCGCTGTGCCCCTGGGCTCGCAGGAGCAGAGTTACCCGATCCGCGTGGAGCACGACCGTCGGCGCCGCCAGTTCACTGTCCGGCTCAACGGTAACGCGATGCCTTGCCCGCCCCCGCCTTTTGTCTGAGAGCTACCGGGAAGCGCTGAAGCCGCCCCCTATTGGGGCGCGCGCTCCCCGGGTCCACAGCCCGGGAGGCACGTCGCGAGCGCGCGCCGTAGGGTGGCGTCTGGGGCAGTGGTCCGGTCCCGCGCGCCGGGAGCGGGCCCGGGACTGCGACTCTTGGACTAGGTGGGAGCGCAGCCGACTCGCGGGTGGGGGAGGGGCGGGCTGCTGGGGGAGGCGCGCCCACGCCGGACAGCTCGGCAACGCAGGCAGCGAGCCCCCAGGGAAGGTGGAAGCTGGAGCGGGCTGCCTGCCCCCAGCCCCTGCCTCAGCCTCTGGGAACGCGCACCTGCTGAAGGCCGGGCTGTTTTCCGGTGTTTGCTGAGGGCTGCTGTTTAAGATCCTGGAGTCAGCCTTGACCAGGAAGTCCCCCTTTCCCTCCCTGGGTGTTAGATAGGTTGTTGCTGTCCCTGGGAACCTTAGCTTTTCTGCACCAAGGAGTTTGGAAGAATCCTGTGGGCAGACTTAGGGCTGAGGAAGAGCTGGGCTTCTGCCCCAGAGCGGGTGGGAAGGGACAGCTGCTCTGAGACGGGACAAGTTGCCTCCTCTCTGCGTGCCCCAGTTTCTCCTTCCCTACTATGGGAATAACACCAGTGCGTACCTTCTGGCTAGTTATAAGGATGAAGCGCTATAATAACAGTAAAGACTTAGAACAGTGCCTGTGGCGTAAGTGTTAATAAACATGAACTGGTCATTATTTTCAAAACCAGATGTCAAAGTCAAGCCTTCGTTTCCTGTAAAGAAAGGTTCTTTTACTTACTATCTCACACTCCTAAGAGGTCTCTGGGAGAGAAAATGGAGTTATAAAATGAAGGACCATAAACTCCCTGCTTCCCACCCTCCTGCTTTAATAACTTTTTTCTTCCCAGTTTGGCCCCTGTGGCAATGTCCAAGCTGAAAGGGCCTTTTCAGGCCACTGTGCCCTGGCAGAGGCTCAAAAAGAGAGAAGCATGTGTGAGGTTGGGCAGTGAATTAGGGCAGAACAGAAATAGGGTCCTGCCTACCCTGGCTCCTGGAACTGGGCTCCTCCAACCTGCTCTTAGGATGAATCAGGAAGGGCTGGGAGCTGGGGCCTGGACATTTCTCAGATACTCCCAACTGCCTTGGACTGGGCCGTACCTTGAACCAGGTCCCAGCACATACTTGTGATGTGAGCATCACCATCCCACATTACAGATGAGTAAACAGAGGCTCAAGCCACAGGGCAGAAGTGATTTGCCCAGCATTACAAAGTGCCAGAGCCAGAAATCAAAATACTTTATCCTTTCCACTTGAAAGCAAGTCCTTCCAGTACTCTGACTCAACTGGCTGTGGTGCCCAGGACCGCAGCTTACTCTTGTGCTCTGGTAGGGACAGGTTACCAACATCAAGGGGTTCGCTCTTTGGGGTGTTCCATTCTCACAAGGTAGTTTTGTTTACTTGACACAAGTAAAGGAGAAGGGATCTATATCCCAAGGTCTGCCTCCCCTAAGGGAGGCTTAACCATCTCTTCTGCAGACTATTTGGTGAATTACACATTGATTTCTTCCTTGTAGTTGGCTACTTTTATGTTTATGAGGTTGAGTTCCTGTTAAGCTTATCCTGTTTACAGCTGGTTTGCAAAATATTGTGCGGACATTTTAACATTTAGCAAGAATAGCACTTAGTAAGAATGGCCCAGACCTCAAGACCCTTGTCCTGTATAAGAGAGTGAAAGAGAGTGATCTCTGGCTTTTCAAATCCTCTTTTTTTGAGGTTCCAAAGAGGGCTCTGTGTCCCTTGAGGGCTCAGGCAGTCCTGTATACTCAGAGGCAGAAGAAAAAGGATGTTCAGCATTTTCTCCTTCTTTTTCTTTCAAATGAATTCAGCCAAAGGACAATTCTACAACCCCACCCCCACCCCCTGCAAAGAGGTGGCTGTGGTCAGGGCTGAACGTGTCCAGCCATATTTCTAAGCTTTCCCACTTGTGGAACCTACTTGCCAGATGGCCGGATAGGAAGTGTTCTGGGGATCTGCCAGCCAAGCCCAGGGAGCAGTGTAAGGCTGCCTGTCCCTCCTCAGCCTGTATCCCAGGGCTCTGCAGCCCAACCTGGTCCAGTCTGGCAGTGGCTGCCCGGTGGGGGCAGTGGGAGGCCCCCCCTGCAGAGTGGGATTGTCTCTCGGCCCCACCCTACCTCAGCTGGAGAGAGAGCAGCTTGTCCTAGTGTCTGTACTGCAGGGCCACCCTTGGTGGCCAGGTTATCATGCCCATTGAGAGCTGTGAACACTAAGGCTTCGAGGCCAAGTGGCCCTAGGGCTCCCAGTACCTGATCATCCTCATGGCAAAGCTGGGCTGATGAGCTTCCAGCAAGCTCTGCTTGTTAATGAGGGAAGAAGTTTTAGTAGCTGTATTCTTTAAATTGTCATGTTCCATGCAGGCCTCATGCACATGCTAGCCTCATAGCACTGGGGGTGAGGGGAAACTGCTCTTCCATTTTACAGGTGAGACAGAGGCAGAAAAGTGACTCACCCAGGAGTACCTTGGAGGTAGAAGAGCTAGGATTTAGTCCCTCTTGAGTGACTGATGTGTACCAGATACTATTCTGGGTGTCAGGAACTCATGGGACTGACAGTCTGGAGGGTGTTGTGCAATAAATCAAGTGTAAGGGGTCCTAAGAAACAGGGTCTTCTGAGCTGGGCAGGGGGAGGGTGTGTTTGGGAAGTGCCGTTGTTTAGAATCAAGTGTCCAGGAAGACCTCCCTAGGAAGGCCACGTTGAAGTAAAGACCTAGCAGAAGCAAGGAAGGGAGCTGCAGTGAGAAGAGCATTCCAAGTGGAAGGAACCAAAAGCGTAGAAGCCCTGTCGTGCCTGATGGGCGTTAGGAGCAACCGGGGTGGGAGAACAGAGAGAGGAGGGTCATAGCAGGTTGTGAAGATTTGACTTTGACTCTGAATGAGGTGAGCGCATGGAGGATCTTGAGCACAGAATGGAAGGGATGTCCCAGGTTCCCTCTGGCTGCGCTAAAGGAAACAGGGTGGAGCAGGACAGAGTGCGGGGGTGGGGGGTGGCTACTAGTTCAGGCAGTATAAGCAGAGGTGAGAAGAAATGCCAGCTCTGGACAGATGGAAATGAACCTTGGCCAGATCTTGCTGGCATGGGGTGTGAGAAATGCTGGAGTTCAGACTTGTCTGACTACCAGATCCAGGTTCTGAAATGCTAGCTTGTATGTCACCATTTCATAGGTGGGGAAAACGGAACAGAGCCATTCAGCAAGTGGCAGCATAGCCAGAATTGTGCCCCAGCCTTGGGTGGCCATTTCTTTGGCCTTCCCTTATCCCTTTCAGCTAGGGCCAAGTGTCCACTTGCTTCAAGAAGAACGGTCTTAGCCCTGGCTGGTATAGCTCAGTGGATTGAGCAGGGGCCTGCGAACCAAAAGATCACGGTTCGATTCCCCATCAGGGTACATGCCTGGGTTGCAGGCCAGTTCCCAGCAGGGGCCAGTTCCCAGCAGGGGATGTAGCAGAAGTATACATTGATATTTCTCTCCTCTCCTTCCCTTACCTTCTAAAAAGATAAATAAATAAAATTAAAAAAAAAAAAAAGAAGAAGAACAGTCTTACGCTGGCATCCCCAGAGTCTGTGGCAGGTGGCAGTGACCTAACCCAGTGCTGAATGGGATGCCCAGTGGTCTGGGGTATTACCATGGGCTTCAACCCTGAAGTGGCACCTGCTGAAGCCACCACCCACAGACAAGCAGATGGAGACTTGGCCCTTCCTTGAGGCAGTATCCCACCTGGCACCCTTCTTTTATTGCCTTGGGTCCCCAGTGTTTGCTCTCATCAAAGTGGACATAGTGGCAACATGATGAAAATCAAAGCTGTGTCTGTCACTGACCCAGCCCAGTTCTGAGCCCTGCAGAACACCCTGGAGACAGAGAAGGAAATGTGTGGAGCAGAGTGATCCAAAGTGGGGGGCCACACTGGCGCCAATGTGGCTGAAAAGAGACCTCCATTTCATCCAGGTCTTCCTCCAGAGCATCTGTGATGGGGAGCGGGACAAAAATTGCTTAACCTCATCTGTGTCAGCACCACTAAGGCCAAGGAGGTGGCCCTCGAGAAGCACCAGGGCCTGGCCATGCAGAGGATCTTCCAGGCGATGATGCCCTGTGAGCCCAACCTCCTGGATGCGCTCCCCAGCGGCCAGCACGTGAGGAGGAGTAGTGCCTGGAAAAGGGCCATCTCTTCCTGGTCACTACACGGCCACTGTGGACGTCATCTACAAGCTGTACACCAAGACGAATGTGAGCTCAAGTGCACAGTGTAGGGTATCCAGCAGCACCACCCTGCACGTAGCCACTTGCAGAAACAGACAACCCCAAATCGCTGGGAATCAAGCAGGGCTGCCCCTAGCCTGTGTTCCCCACAGCAGCCCAAAGTCTGGCCAGGGTCTGCAGGAGATGGTCTTGGTTTTTTAAAAGTCATTTTTGGGGTCTATCTTGGTGGAGCATTACATAACCGTCCTACTTCTCAATCACCTTTGAATTTCACAAGAGCACAAACTGACTACTCTTTCATGTCAGTGTGGTAAAAATCAATGTTGCTAGTAAGTCAAGTCCTAGGGGTTTTGGGGATTTTTCCCCCATGCAGAGCATAACTCTGAGGAGCCCTGTCACACAGCTCACTTTAAAAACAAGCACAGTCCTTCTAACAGTGTGCGGGTATTTTAAAGACCACCAGAGGCTTGATTTGAAATTGTATGAGACCCCTAGTGTGGATTTTTTTAAGCAAACTGGTGAGTGTTGACCTGTAGCTGCACAGCATGGCCTGGCAGCACCATCCCCAGACCCTGCCCCTCCTTACTGTCTCCCCCCAGACAGGGTTTTACAGCTGAAAGCAGCCAGTGGGCCTTTGCTGACCATGAACAAGGGGACTTTATTTTAAAGCTGTCAGGCACAAGTAATCAGAGGTGACTGAATCTGCATACTTCTGCATAATTACCGTCTTCAGGACAGCTTTTCCACCTAAGAAACGACCTACCATTTAGTCTCATGGGGGAGACCCAGGAACAGCCTCACTGCCTTAACTGTCCTTCCTG